TTTGTTTGTTTGTTTCTGAGGTATCTCTGGGTGGACTTGAACTACCAACCTTTCAGTTAGTAGCCAAGTGCACTCATCATTTGCAAAACCACCCATCTGTCACTAAGCATTTGTTCCTTGGAGAATGTTATGTATCTGGAATCATGCCATTTATAACTTCTGAGACTAGTTTTTCCATATAGGTTAACACCTTGGAGATCCACCCAGGTTGTGGCATACAAGGGGCTTCAAGAAGTTTGCAGAAAATGGAATGGAAAGGTAGTGGATGTTTTCCATGAACTTTTGAAGCCCCCTTGTATAGAATTATTGACGTTAGCAGCTGGGGAGCAGACCCTTGTCTCATGATGACCTCATGCACAATGGAATGAAAATCAGCTGGGTCCTATACTCTCCCCATGAATGTGGTAGATTAGACTGTGGGGATCCAGGGGGGTTTCATTGGCTGATTTTCAGACATAGATCACCAGGCCTTTCTTTCTAGTGCATTTGAGTCTGGGATCTCTGCTGAAGCCTGTTCAGTATGATGGAAACACGCAAGTCTCCAATGGCAGTCAGATGGTGGCTGCATATGACATGTATTCACGGGAAATTGAACCGGAGTCTCCCACATGTGAGGTGAGGCTTCCACCACTGCCGTCATGGAGTGAACATACACATTGCTAAAGTAGTTTCTGGTTTTTGTATCCATATCAATGCTGTAGTTTTAATATTGAGCTGTGGTTTCATAAGATGTTGTCATGGGGGAGGCTGAGTGATGGGCCCATGGATCTGTCTGTACCGATTTGGTAATTTCTTGTGAGGCTGAATCTGTCTCCAGATAAAGAGTTTTGGTTGTGTTTTTTTTTTAAGTTTTTATTGTGAATTATGTGGATTTACATGGGAGAAGATAAGTTTTACATTCATTCTATCGTACTTCGTTTTATTGCAATGATCACAATCGCCTCCATGCTTCATCAAATAACCAAAGGGTACACCCCACAGGCCCGCCCCCTTGGCCATCAGCACACAGCCCCTCTCCCTCCCTGAGTCCCATGTCTCTAGTCACTCCATCTGTCCACGTCATCATCTCTGTCTCCATCCCTAGCATCACCTTCTCTCTGGGTAGGGTCACGTTCTCCGCTCTTCTCACCTGATGGTTCCAGGGAGCTCCACTCTTGGGCTGCAAAATCAATCACTTCCCTCCTTTTGTCAAAAAACATCTACCTCTACATTTCCGACCCTCACAGTCAGTCCTGATGGCAATTATTCACTATTGTACCACAAGACTCTTATCCCCATTTCCTTTCGCCAGCCCAGTCCCAACAGATTGAAAATCATTCAGTGGAGGTTCTACCTACCCCTGCCCAGTCTGGAACTAGGATCCCTTTTGAAAGCTTGTAAGTCAGTCACTTCTTGTCTTTGTAGCCCCCTTCCCCCCATTTTGGGTAGCCAATGTCTAAGTTGCCCATCTCTGTCAACCCTGTGTACCG